TCCTACCACAATGTCTTAGAACCCAAAAATGTTCTAAGAACAAAAACAATGTTCTTAGAACGTAGACCAGATGTGATAAAACAAGACAGTCCCAACCAGACATGTTCTAAGAACATTTCGTGGGAACCACAAACGATTCTTAGAACATTGTTTGGTAGGGCTATAGACGAGCCAGGACGCTTCGCCACTGCTTAATTGACCCCCGTCCCTTCAGCCCCGGAGTTTCGGCAACTGTCGTTGCCCAGTGTGGATGGGGTCCGGGCCCCAGGTGACGGCAACGCTCGGGCGGGGTGGAGCACGCCGGGGCAGGGGTGCGCTGCGATCGCCATAGCTGCGCGCGAGCACCAACATTATGTTTTGGACGCCCGAAATGGGTACGGACAAAAATTGGTACAATGTCCAACAGCAAATGCTGTCCCAAACCAACAGCGGCTCTGTTGGGCAGGCGGCCTTCTGTCTCAAATGGGCACAGGCCGCGGCGGCGCGGACAGCGAGTCCTGTTCAAAATGAACGGGAACTGCAGTTCGGCATTGTACCCATTCTTCTCGTACCCATCTCGTTCGTACAGACACGTGGTGGGGAAGTCTGGGCCTCCACCCCACGTGCGAGATCGCTTCCACCGCTACCCGGAAGGGAAGAGACCGTTACGCGCCAGAGGATAAAACAGCAACACGAGATCTGCGCATGTGAGCGACGATCAAAAACGGGCCTTTCGGGTCGGGCAAAAGGGGGGGATAGCAAAGGGGGGGTTTGAAAATCAGCTCACGTAGCTGATTTTCCCGGCGCCTCCCGGCGCCGGAGGCGGCCATGTATCGAGGAATGGGCGCCTCGGTGAGGCCGAAACCAGCTGCATGCAGCAAATTTCGTAACCCCCCCTTTCCCAATCCCCCCCTTTCGCCCGGCCCGAGCCTTGCGCCGCGACCAGATGCGACCTTCCGCCGCGGCTCACGCAGGTCGCCGGCGCGGCACGCCACGCTGGAGTCGAGGATGTGCTTGCGCGCGACCTTCCGCGGGCAACTTATACGCGCGAGTGTCGGCGGAGACGACCCCGCTTTTTGTTGGCGCCGCTCACGTTTCTCCTCATGCGAGCAGCGCCTCCATACTGCGCCTCGGCCACCATGTACTGGATCGTGACCCAGGACAGCGCGTGCCCCACCATGAGGGACGTGGACCTGCCGCCCGCACCACATAGGCGACCCGCTGCGTGCGCACTGCTGCTCCCGCGGCTGCCCGCAGCTGCCCGCTGTCGCCCCCGCCGCCGCCCGTGGCTGCTGCGGCCCCTGCCCGCCATGCCTCCTCACCGCCCTGCCCACATCTCCGACGGTGTGCCGCCGCTGCGCCTCCGCCGTACATCTGCTGTGCCTCCGCTGTGCCTCCTCTCCTCGCCTCCCTGCCGCAGCGCCTCAGCGCACGCATACGCCGAGGACCCCCCGCGCGCCCACCCGCCTGGGCGGCTCACCTGCACAGGGAACTCTCGTGGACTCGGGCGCTTCAGGGAGGAACGGCGAGGTGCAAGGCGGGGACTTATCCATATCCACCGCCTGGAAACCGACGTCCTGGTGCCCCAGCGGGCGGTGGATATGTGTACATTTCGCCCCCCGTGGGCCCGAGTATAGTTATCCATATCCACCGCCTGTGGAGGTCCGCGGAGATCGATCCCACAGGCGGTGGTCATGGATAATTCACCGCGAGCGCGCCCAGTCCCCGAGACCCTGCGTCGCAGATTTTTCCGCGCTGGACCTGGCCCCGGGACCTGGCAGATGGACCTGGCTCGGAGAATGGAGGAGAAAGGTGGGGTCCAGGGCTCTGCTCGTCATGTTCCACAAAGCTGCAATTCCCTGGCTGCGTGTCGCTGCGAGGGAAGGATAAAACACGGAAGAATCCCACAGAAGGGGACGGGGAACCCAAGGCCGCCCAATCCGGTAACCGTTTCGCCTGAGACCCCCACACAATTTATTCAGGAATCGTGGTGTCGCCTCACTGCCGGCTACATGGTTGGTCCAGACGGCTACGATCCCTGATGACATGGAAACCAGCGTGGGCCCCAAGCAACGTGTTCCGACAGAAACTGTGGTGCAACGTCTTCGGTGCAAGCCGTGTGGCATCATCGAAGCGGTGCGTTTCATGCTTGTCCGCAGTGCGTCGTCGATTCCACTGCTCGCGCAACCATCCCACCCATCCACTCGCTGCTTAGGAGGAGGAGGAGGAGGAGGAGGAGGAGGAGGAGGAGGGAGGAGGAGGAGGAGGAGGAGGGAGGAGGAGGAGGAGGAGGAGGAGGGAGGAGGAGGAGGAGGAGGAGGAGGAGGAGGAGGAGGGAGGAGGAGGAGGAGGAGGAGGAGGAGGGAGGAGGAGTTGGTTTGCAGAATTCGTGAGGCGGCAGGTGTGATGCCTGCCTGGCGCTGCTCGGCGCGCCGCTGCGGCAGCGCCGGCGCGCGCCGGCCCGCGCGCAGAGTGGCCGGCCAGTGCGGCGAGGCCGACGCGGCCGCGGTGGCGCTGACCGCTGGGGACGTCCCGGCGCGTCTCACAGCCTCCTCCTCCTCCTCCTCCTCCTCCTCCTCCTCCTCCTCCTCCTATTGGGCGCCCGAGTTATCCGGGGTAACTCGGGTCCGGGGTAACTCGGGTTTGGATTCCCGAAAAAGGAACCCGAATTACCCCTGACCCGAGTTACCCCTGATGATTCGGGGCTCTGGACGCCCGAGTTATCCGGGGTAACTCGGGTCCGGGGTAACTCGGGTTTGGATTCCCGAAAAACGAACCCGAGTTATCCCTGACCCGAGTTACCCCTGATGATTCGGGGCTCTGATCCTAGGCCACGCTGACGCGCGGGCATCTCAGTGCGAGTCGGTGACTCGGGCGGGTGCGGCATCATGGCGACGCCGACAACGCCAGGCACGGTGATGCTTGCAGCGATGCTGGTGACGACGATGACGACGACGACGGCAAGGCACATGACGGCGCCGATGCTGATCACGCCGATGACGATGATGGTGTCCACGCGTCGGTGATGAAGGTTTTGGAAGGATTCCGACAGGCGCGCGCGGCCGACGGGCGCGAGTGGCCCGAATGGTATTATTTGACAGGGACCGCGCCCCCCCAGCACGAGCGCAAGAGCGTTCGAATGCTTGCGACATGCGCGCGCGAAGGGCCCGCATGGTCACAGTTGATGAAAAGATTCAAACCCGATGGTTTGCTCATGAATTCGCAAGGAAGCGCGCAGACCTCTTTTTTGAAAACAGGTGCTTCAAAGCCGTGCTGATATTTTTCAAATTTGCATTCAAGACACTTGATATTGAAATCCTTACTAATGTCGCTGAATGATTCCGACGCGCACGCGCGACAACAACGCGCACGTGCGCACTTCGTCATTCTTTTGCACGAATCCTGGTAAAAATGGGGACTGCTCACGCATGGTGTCTTTTGGCAAAACCAAAACAACACGATTGGGGGATGGCGAGCCCGGCCTGGCTGGGATGGTCTGAATTCAAATAAACATGAACGATGGGACAGAAATTGATTTTCTTTGCGCAGCCCAAAAAGGCGGGGGGATAATCCGGGTGGGCGGGGGGGTAGATCCGAATTCCTTTTTTCTGGAAGGAGAACATCGTGCAAGCTTTGTGGTGCGAGCTTTGCGGTGCAAGATACGTATGTGGTGCGGTCGGTGTGGTGCAGTATGTGAGGTGTGAGCTACGTGGTGTCCCTTATGTAGTGCAAAATATGTGGTGGAAGCTATCTGAAAAGCAACGCATTGTATGCAATCAGTGTGGTGCAAACTATGTGGCGCAATGTACGTGGAGCAATATACGTGGTGCAGTGTATGTGGTGCAGTACATGTGGTGCAAGCTATGTGGTGCAACGCAAGCCAACGCAAAACACTGCGATTTCAGCGCAATGCGATCCGATTGCAGTGCGATGCGATCGACATGCAGCGGAGGGGTCGCAACGGGGCGGCGGCGACGGGCGGCGACGCAGCGGCGACGAAGCAGGGACGACCGGCGATGAGGCAGCGACAGGGCGGAGGCGGGCGGCGACGGGGAGGCCCAAGCCCAGGCCCAAGCGACGGGCGGCGGCGAGGCGGCGACGAGGCGCCGACGGGCGGCGACATACCTCGTAGAGCTCTTCGGCATCGATGAGCCAGAGGAATTCCGGCGCGGAGTGGAACTAGTTGGCGGACCCGACCAAAAGAGACAATGTGACAACTTTCGGTTGGTTTTCCAAAGATTTCAAAGATATGGTGCCAGTGCTGGCCAGGCCGATCAGCAGGCCCGGTTTTTCAGAACACAAGGAAGACTCCCCGACTGCAAACCCTTGGGCAGGGACCGCCCGTCCCGGCAGTCCTATAGGCCTACCACGAAAGGTTCTCAGAACCCAAGCACATTCCAGTAACAGAAACAGTGCTCTTGGAACATGTGCCCGAGGTGTTGAAACCGGGCAGACGCAGCCAGAAATGTTCCAGGACAATCTCGTGCAAGCCGTCAAAGCTTCTCACAGCACTCCTCGATGGGCCCCTCGGCGAGCCCGGACGCTCCGCCGCTGCTGGAAACCACTGCTGGGGGAAACACACACACGCGCTGCAGCGCACGTGGCCGCCCACCGCCTGCCCAGGCCCAAAGAAGGCCGAGGCCCCGGGCGGTTCGATCCAGACCCCGGTAAAACGACGCGAAGATCGGGACAAAATCGGGTCGGGATAACTCGAAATCTCTGAGAATCGGCGGGTTTGGAGGATGTACTGGGCGCCGCGGCCGCTCCAGAGCGCTCCGGAACGCTCTGGAACGATTTATCCCGATCCTAGCCCTGTTTTACCTGGACGGTGCGCAGGCAAACCGCGGGGAGTGACCGCAAGAGGGCCCTGGAAACGACAGGGCCGTTTTTCTGCCGCTTCCTTTTTCAAGGCATTCTTCTGGAAACGGTGCAAAGACGTGGGAATGACCTTAGCGGGCCCAGGAAACGACCAGGCCGTTTTTCTTACCGGTTCCCTTTTGCCGGTTTTGTTGCCGGCTCCGACGCCGTTTTGTTACCGGTCCCGTCGCCGTTTCTTGACCGGTTCCGGCTCCGGTTCCAATCCTGGAGCCGCATTTTTGCCGTTTCCGGTCGCCGTTTTTTTGCCGTTTCCATTTTAAAGGGACATTTTTCTGGAAACGGTGAAAAAACGGCCCTGCCGTTTCCGGGGCCCACAAAGGGAGTGACCGCAGGGTGATGGCTCGTGGAACGCCCTTGGACGCCCACGTCGGCGCGATGGCAGCGGCACCGGGCCAGAGCGCGGAGCTGGGAGGCCGAGGGCGCGAGCGCAGCGCGGGCGACCCCCCCCCCACATGCCCGCGCCGTGAGGCGATCACCGCGGGACTCGTCTGGCCGACTTCGGCCTCTGGGAGCCCTCGCTGGTCCCCGGGACCGTCCAGCGAACACTCGGCATGAAGAACCGGCCCTGGGGAGAGGGTCGGGACCTCCTCCTCCTCCTCCTCCTCCTCCTCCTCCTCCTCCTGGGGACCTCGTAGCATGAATCGAGACGTCGCGTGTCTGGAACGGCACCGTCGCCGCTGTGTTCGACGGCGGAGCGCGCCCGCGCCACAGCAGCGCGCCGCCTGTGCACCCCCAGCGATTCCCCCGGAGCGCGAGCGCGCAGCCGCTGGCGCAACGACGGCCCGTCCCCCGCGGACACTTTTTTTTACCATCCGTAGGGGGCCCAGCGGCGAGAACGGGTGACAGCAGAGCGCAGAGAAGCCGGAAACGAGGAAGGAGGAGGAGGAGGAGGAGGAGGGGGAGGCGGGGAACAGGAACAGGAACAGGAGGCAGGCGGACACGTGCTTCTCCAGGAACAGGAGGCAGGCGTCCAGGTCGGAGTTGTTGTACTCGTACGGGATGCACCAGCCGATGGGGCCGAACTTCCGCCGCTCCTGCGCGCCGAAATTTGGCGGCACGGGGTCGAGCACGAGGGGCGGGGCTTGTGTGGCAGAGACTACGCGGGCGCAGACTTGACCCGTTGCACCAGGGGTACGAAGGTGCAACGAGGTCCACTGTGCAGAGCCGGCGCTCGATTCGCCGCAGATGCACGAGGTGGACAGATGATGCTGGAGGACAAGTTGGAGTAAGGGACGGTGAGACGCTGCAAAGCGGAAGAGATCGGTGCACATTGTGCGGCATCAGGCGAATCCTCAATTGATGGACCGAGGCCATTCGCGAATCTGAGGTAACGCACCTGGATGTAAAGGGCAATGGTGATCTGCCACCGTGCCTGCGGCACGTTGCGGCGTGGAAGACTGCCAAGGGCTGCCTGGGAGGATTTTTGGAATGTTCCGAAGGATCCTCCCCTCCGCGGGAAGCGTTCAGCCGACTGCACCGCCCCTTCTCCGGGGGGGTCCTTGGGCGGCCATGGCGCCTCCCTGGGGCTCTCCAAAGCTTCCATGGTGGCCCAAGAGGCCCCCAAGACGGTCCAGGAGGGCCCCGAGTCGCCGAACGATCGTTCGAAGACGCCCAAGATAGCCTCAAGATGGCCCAAGAGACATCCAAGACACAGCCTTTTCAGCTTTCCGACGCTCCAAGACGGTCCTGGAAGCCCCAAAGACCACCCCAAAACGGCCCAAGAGGCATTCAAGAGGGCCCCAAGATGGCCCAAGAGGGTCCCGAGTCCCAAGACTGCCCCAAAAGGGGCCCAAGAGAGGGAGCACGAACCGAAAATCCAAGCCTTCCGCCCCAAAAGGCCCTCAAGGATGCCCCAGAGGCGCCCAAGGGGCCCCAAGAGGCCCTCACACGGTCCCCAAGGGGCCCCAACGGGCCTCAAGCAGCTCCCAAAACGCCCCAAGAGGCTCCAAACGGCCCCCTGCAGGCCCCCCAAACTGCCTCTTAGAGGCCTCCGAGAGACCTCCCACAAGATCCCAACGAACATCCACTAGGCTTTCATACCCACAACCAGGCACGGTGGAGGAGGGGGAGGAGAAGGAGGAGGAGGAGGAGGAGGAGGAGGAAGAGGAGGAGGAGAGTAGGGAGGGGGAGGAGGAGGAGGGAGGAGGGAGGAGGGAAGAGGAGGAGGAGGAGGAAGAGGAGGAGGAGGAGGAGGAGGGGGAGGAGGAGGAGGATTAATTGAGGTCTCGCATCCTTGGCACCACTCCTGTCAGTCAGGCAAAGTGCATGCCTGACGCCCCATGCTCGCAACAAACTGTGTGAGAACAGGTTCGCCACATATCCAAGATGCCAACTTAGTGCACAGACCTTGGTCGCACACGTGGAAAGGCACTGCGGATCCTCCGTGAGCTCAGGGAGTTAGGCAGAATCGAGCCCAACGTGAAACCAGGAAGGGTGGACTCCTCAAGTAGACCAGCCGATGCGAAACAGAGCTAGACTGACTTCAAGTATGGAACCCATAAGACGCGAGCGTTCACTGTCGTACTGCATAGATTATCCCGGCAAAGCAACCTAACAGCGATGTGTAGGAGCATATCTGGAAGCATTCCCCTTAAGATTCAGATAAGAATCCTGTTGTAGAATTCTGCTGTTCTCGCAGTCGCGGTCGCATTCGCAATGGCAGTCGCAGTGGCAACAGCAGTCGCAGTCACAGCCTCAGCCTCAGCCTGCCTCAGCCTCAGCCTCAGCCTGCCTCAGCCTCAGCCTGCCTCAGCCTCGCCCTCAGCCTGCTTCAGCCTCAACATCAGTCTGCCTTCAGCCTCGGCCTCAGCCTGCCTCAGCCTCACCCTCAGCCTGCATCAGCCTCAGCCTGCCTCAGCCTCGCCCTCAGCCTGCTTCAGCCTCAACATCAGTCTGCCTTCAGCCTCGGCCTCAGCCTGCCTCAGCCTCAGCCTCACCCTGCATCAGCCTCAGCCTCAGCCTCAGCCTGCCTCAGCATCAGCCTGCCTCAGCCTCAGCCTCAGCCTGCCTCTGCCTCAGCCTCAGCCTGCTTCAGCCTCAGCCTCAGTCTGCCGTCGGCCTCGGCCTCAGCCTCAGCCTGCCTCAGCCTCAGCCTGCATCAGCCTCAGCCTCAGCCACAGCCTGCCTCAGCTCAGCCTCAGCCTCAGCCTGCCTCAGCCTCAGCCTCAGCCTGCTTCAGCCTCAGCCTCAGTTTGCCTTCAGCCTCGGCCTCAGCCTCAGCCTGCCTCAGCCTCAGCCTGCTCAGCCTCAGCCTCAGCCTCAGCCTGCCTCAGCCTCACCTGCCTCAGCCTCAGCCTCAGCCTGCCTCAGCCTCAGCCTCAGCCTGCTTCAGCCTCAGCCTCAGTCTGCCTTCAGCCTCGGCCTCAGCCTCAGCCTGCCTCAGCCTCAGCCTGCATCAGCCTCAGCCTCAGCCTCAGCCTGCCTCAGCATCAGCCTGCCTCAGCCTCAGCCTCAGCCTGCCTCAGCCTCAGCCTCAGCCTGCTTCAGCCTCAGCCTCAGTCTGCCTTCAGCCTCGGCCTCAGCCTCAGCCTGCCTCAGCCTCAGCCTGCATCAGCCTCAGCCTCAGCCTCAGCCTGCCTCAGCATCAGCCTGCCTCAGCCTCAGCCTCAGCCTGCCTCAGCCTCAGCCTCAGCCTGCTTCAGCCTCAGCCTCAGTCTGCCTTCAGCCTCGGCCTCAGCCTCAGCCTGCCTCAGCCTCAGCCTGCATCAGCCTCAGCCTCAGCCTCAGCCTGCCTCAGCATCAGCCTGCCTCAGCCTCAGCCTCAGCCTGCCTCAGCCTCAGCCTCAGCCTGCTTCAGCCTCAGCCTCAGTCTGCCTTCAGCCTCAGCCTGCCTGCCTCCTCAGCCTCAGCCTCAGCCTCAGCCTGCCTCAGCATCAGCCTGCCTCAGCCTCAGCCTCAGCCTGCCTCAGCCTCAGCCTCAGCCTGCTTCAGCCTCAGCCTCAGTCTGCCTTCAGCCTCGGCCTCAGCCTCAGCCTGCCTCAGCCTCAGCCTGCATCAGCCTCAGCCTCAGCCTCAGCCTGCCTCAGCATCAGCCTGCCTCAGCCTCAGCCTCAGCCTGCCTCAGCCTCAGCCTCAGCCTGCTTCAGCCTCAGCCTCAGTCTGCCTTCAGCCTCGCCTTCAGTCTGCCTTCAGCCTCAGCCTGCCTCAGCCTCAGCATCAGCCTGCCTCAGCATTCAAAGTGTGGCCCGGGAATGGAGTTCTGGGAACTCGAAGAACACGAAATGGCCTACAGTTGGCTCCGGGCATTCAAAATCATGCCCAGGAATGGAGTTCTGGGAACTCGAACACCACGAAGTGGCCTACAGTTGGCTCCGGGCATTCAAAATCATGCCCAGGAATGGAGTTCTGGGAACTCGAAGACCACGAAGTGGCCTACAGTTGGCTCCGGGCATCCAAAATGTGGCCCGGGAATGGAGTTCTGGGAACTCGAAGACCACGAAGTGGCCTACAGTTGGCTCCGGGCATCCAAAATGTGGCCCGGGAATGGAGTTCTGGGAACTCGAAGAGCACGAAGTGTGTGACTGTTGCATCCGGCCCTCCAGAATGTGGCCCGGGAATGGAGTTCTGGGAACTCGAAGAGCACGATGTGTGTGACTGTTGCATCCGGCCCTCCAGAATGTGGCCCGGGAATGGCGTTCTGGGATGTCGAAGAGCACGAAGTGTGTGACTGTTGCATCCGGTTATTCTAAATGTGGCCCGGGAATGGCGTTCTGGGATCTCGAAGAGCACGAAGTGTGTGACTGTTGCATCCGGGTATTGAGAATGTGGCCTGGGAATGGAGTTCTGGGAAGTCGAAGAGCACGAAGTGTGTGACTGTTGGTGAAAAACGAGCCCGGCACCTGCCGCCCGGCAACTCCCAACACCTGCCCGGACCCCCCTGTGGAGTGATCTGCTGCTCTCTTTTGATCCCACTAGAAACCTATCAGTCTTCGCTGTTAGGTAAAAAGAATGTTGAGAGGAGAATTGAGCACCCGATCGCCATTCCAACACTGGCGGCTCATGTGACCTGTAGCCGAAGTCGCGACCGATATTCAAGAGGGCGTGGCGGGGCAAGAGAAAGAGGACGCGTACGGAGGGTGAATGAGAATCTGAGCAAGAAACGCGCGGGGTACAGCGAGCGGGCCGAGCTTCCCACGAGTTTTCAATGAGATGGCGGATTAAGAAAACGGAGGCTGAGACAGATGAGACGCATTAGAAGGGGGCCGGGAACCGAGGAGGAGGAGGTGAACGAGAAAGTGGAGTCCGATCACGACGGTGCAAACTATCTAGTCTGTGCGCTCCTGGCCAACGCTTGTTCACCAGGCTCGCCCTCCCGCAAACCCAGATAATACAAAAGGAAATGTCAAGAATCGAGCCGTCAACTAACCGCTCGAACTCGGACAGCCGAGGCCATGTCATGATATTTGGTGCGCTGTAATAAAGGCGGCCGATGATAGCATGGAGCTGTGCCGCAGAACATACGACATGGTGAAGGCTTATGCAGTACATGATCACGAAACATATCCTGCACAATGCTGTGGAGGAAGGACTGGACGTACACGAGCGCTCGCCACTTCTCGTTGTCGATCTTGTCGATCAGCTCCTCTGCCCACCCTAACGCTCCTATTCACATATGTCCTCTCTTTGCCAACTAACCCATTGCGTACGTAGCTGTCTACTTGCTTAACAAAACATGCTCAATGGCTAAACTAGTTCCGACGCGTGTTCATGCGCAACTCGCAAAACCTAGCGCTCCTGCAAGTGATACACCCTGCCAACACCGAATACAACAGGAACAACAAGCCGATGCCCTATAAACATGGCCATCTGCTACTTTCATCGGTCACCATCACATGCAAGGGTGATCAACGAAAACGCGTTCGACGAGGAGTCATACCGAGAATTCCACACGATCTTCGTGGACATGCCGCTGCACCGCGGAACCTCCCCTCTTCATCCACCGTTCCCCAACCGGCAGAGTGCCACGCCCCCCCTGGCCCTCGCGCTCGCAATCGTGGTCCTCATCCTTCCCCTCCCTGGCTTAGGCATCGCTCTACACACACTCCAAGACGAGGAGGAGGAGGAGGCGGAGGAGGAGGAGGAGGAGGAGGAGGCGGAGGAGGAGGAGGAGGAGGCGGGGGGGAGGAGGAGGGGGAACAGGAAAAAGAGGAGGAGGCAAAGGATGAGGAAGAGGAGGAGTAGGACGAGGAGGAGGAGGATGAGGGGGAGGAGGAGGGGGAGGACGGGGAAGGGAGGAAAGGCCACGGAACGGCGGGCACGGGGTGCGGAGGAGGACTTGCCGTGGAGCCTGTGGAGGCCCCCTGCTCCAACAAAACAGACAGGGAGGATGCAGGGCAGGCCCTCCTCACCCTCCTTCTCGCCCTCCTCCTCGCCCTCCTCCTCCCTCCTCCTCCTCCTCCTCCTCCTCGCCCTCCTCCTCCTCCTCCTCCCTCGCCCTCCTCCTCCTCCGGGGTGAGCCCGGAGGAAGGACGGCCCTCCTCGCCCTCCTCCTCCTCCTCCTCCTCCTCCTCCTCCTCCTCCTCCTCCTCCTCCTCCTCCCCTTGCCCTCCTCCTCTTCCACACCCTCCTCCCACGAGTCCTTTCGGAGGGGCAGACTTTGAGAGGGCTCTAGAAGTGGTCGGCGCCCGCAGAACAGAACAGAACCCCCTCACGCCTCCCGAGGCTCCTGACAAACAATGCCCGCCTGCTCCTGCCGCCCCAAGAGCTCAGGCGCCCCGACCTCCTCGAAACATGATGGGGCTCCGGAGAGGTCGGCCGTGCTGGTCGACGGTGGCCTGAGGGTCTGAGCTGGATGGGCACCGAAGACATCACTCGAGCTCGCTCAAGATCGGTCCCCGGACCCCTCCCCAGGAGAGCCCAGAATCGAATCGATAAATCGGATCGGCAATCGACATGAATCGGATCGGCGGAAATCGGCAGCCGAATCGGGAAAAGTCGAGTCGGCGGAAATCGGCAGGCTAGTATGCCTCCAATAAGAAATCGGAATCCAAATCGGAATCCCAGGTCGAATCGAATCGGAATCGGAATCCATCGAAGTCGAATCGAATCGAATCGGAGGAATCGAAACGAGCCCTGCCTCCCTGGGTCCACGTGGTGCACGCACTTTGTCGGCCCCGGGTCCGCGCGCGACGGTCCCGGGGCCCGACGGCGGCCCCCCGAGACCGAAAAAGAAAAGGGTAGACACACATGCTCGAGCCCAGCGCCTCGAACCCGCCCCCTCGTCAACTGCTGGCTGCGATCGGTGCTGGGCCACCTCCGACCCCAGCCGCCTCTGAGGTGCTGGGGCCCATGCTCAGAAACGCTGGCCGTCTAGAGCTAGGTCGGGCATGTCCTCCTACAGGCGAAATTTGGAAAAATCATGTGTAGCAATAGGAAATCAGAACATGTGCAAAAATAATCGGACACAGTCCGAACCTCGTTTCGTGCCCAGACGATGTTTGTGACCATTTTACTATTTTTGAATCTTCCTCCTGTAGAGGGACATGCCCGACTTAAGTCCAGAGTTGCTCCAGGACGCCCGAGGTGTGGGGAGCGCCCTCGCGGCGCTCGCCGCCGGAAGGCGGCCATGGGGGCTCCTGCGTGACCATCGTCGTGTACGTGCGGTAGAGGCCCGCCTTCAGCCCCGCGGGGGGCTCCAGCGTCACCTGTGTGCGGGGGGGGGGGCAGGGCAACAAAAATAGGGCAGAAGAAAGGAAAACGGCATAAGCATAAACAGTTGGCGCTCCGCGCGGATGATTCCTCGGATCTGCGCTGGACCCCCCTCCTTGGCGCGCGGAGCGCGCCAAGGGCGGCGCTGGATGCGCCGCCGGCAGGCCCAGCGCGGAAACTCCAAGAGATCCGCGCGGAACGCCAACAGTTTATGTTTACGGCGCTTTCCTTCTTCGATAGAAGCATGACTAGGAAGGCTCTGCGGCTTGTGTGACCAGCGATGCAATGGCACTGCCCATTTTTTTCCCGAAAGGTAACGACAGCCTGGAGCTCGGCAAAGTAGAAAGAAAGGTTACGTTGCACCGTCGGGGGGCCTTGTCTATCCCGTCGCGACCCCATCCGCGTCGAACTCATGTCGAATCCATGCCGGACTTTGCGAATCCGTGTGGAGTCTGAATCGACTCCGCGTCGAATCCATGCCGAATCCGCGTCGACTCCGCGTCGAGCCCGCGCTGGGCACAAGAAAAGACACCAACTCTTGGGACAGACCAGGTCCCCTGAAGATGCAGCGCAAGAAGGGAGGGGAGCCAAGGAGACGAAGGGCAGAGCCCCACCTTCCATAAGGGCAAACAGAAGCACGACGGCCTTGGAAGTTGATCTCACACACTGGGAAATCCAGCAAAGCGTCAAAGGGAATGGATTTTACGTTTTGCAAACTAATGGTCTTGGACTTTACGCTGCGTGGCTTCAACATTGCAAACGATGGCTTATTCACAAACCCCCGGCTGGCTGCGTTAAAGCTTGTCCACGTGGCGTTGTGCGCTTATTTGGAAGCGCTTCCGAAATATACTAACCCAACTTCGGCCAGGGAAGATCTCTGGCCGAGATTAAAAGCTGCCCTGATATATACATATATATACATAGAAAATACACACACGTGTGCGCGGGGATCCATGCCCGTCGTCGGCGGCGCTCGGGTTGGGGGCCCCTCTGGGGCCCACGCTCTTGCCGAAATCAGCGCACCATCGTCCACATCACCATCGTCGCCGTCCGTCCGTCCGTCCGTCCTCGTCGTCTCCGTTGTCGTCGTTGTCGTCGTCGTCGGTCACCGTCGGTCCTCGATCAGCGCGCTCCCCAAAAACGCCGACTTCAACGCCTCCAACCATTTGGGACATCGACCGAGATAGCCGAGAACCCATGAATCCATAATGTTGCACCTGCCGAAATAGCCGCACAGCCGAGATAGCCGCATCTGTTGCCGAGATACCGAGATATCCATGAAACCGGGATAGCCGGGATAGCCATGAAACCGAGATAGCCGCACCTGTTGCCTTCGCCGCCTTCCGCCGGCGGAGCCGCCTTCGTTCTGCTTCCCTCGGCCTCCGCGGAAGCATCCCCTCGCGAATGCCCACATTGCCCACGCTGCCCAGACAGCACGCTACTCTCGGAGCTGCCGGTGCGCCAAGGCATGCGTAAAGTTAGAGGGTCGCCTCGTCCTCCTCGGATCCTCGCTCCGATCCCTCGGAAGCGAGTTCCCTTCTTGAGCGAACTGTGTCAGTCCCTCGACGTCGTGATCTGCTTCGCGGCGTGAACCCCCTGAGGCCTCGACCCCTCCCCCCGGGCCAGTCTGCCCTCCCGAGCCGTCGCTGGACGGCTCCAGGGGCCCGCGAGGGCACCCCGGCGCCGAAACATGTCAGACACCCATGGCGGCTACTTGTTTCGCAGCGCGAGGGCGACGCGGGCGGAGTCAAGCATCGCCCCCTGGACCCTTCCCGTGGCGCGCTCTGGCCCGAACCCCATGGGGGACCTCGGCCGTGGCGATGATGAGCCTGCCAGGGCCCCAGGCGCAGGGAGCCACTAAGTTTTCGTCGGCGGCGAGGCAGAATGGCCGCACCAGCGATAGAGCTAAGGGGGGGTACCGAGAAGCAAATTGGCCAGCGTGCAGGAGAGGGGAACAGACGGACAGGGCGGCCGCGGAGGAGGGAGGAAGAGAGGGCACTCAGAGGCAGAATAATTCCGACCCGAACGCGCTGGCGCGCAGGGAAACTCTAGCACGTGACCTCCAACCTCTGCATGGCGATCGTGCAGCACCCTGGGAACCCCGCAGAGGACGACGGCGAGTCGTTGGCCCCGCCGAGGCGGTCGGCTGCTGTCGTGTTCGTCGTTGTCGTCGTCGTCGGCTTCGTCGTAGTCGTCCATCGTTGTCCGTCGTCGTCATCGTCGTCGTCGTCGTCATCGTCGTCGGTGTCGTCCATCGTCGTCCGTCGTCGTCATCGTCGTCGGCGTCGTCGTCGTCGGCGTCGGCGTCGGCGTCGGCGTCGGCATCGGCGTCGGCCTCGTCCTCGTCCTCCGCCGTCGTTGTCGTTCGTCGGTCGTCGTCCGGGCGTCGCGAAACGATCACTTGACTGGCGCTTTTCTGGTAAGGGGCGGCGATAGGGGGGAGGAATGGCGCAGGGGGGCGGGGAATATCGGCATGGAATCGGCGATACATCGTCGATAGATCGGCGATGGGCCCCTGATAGCGAATCCGCACGTTCCCGAGCGGGGTGGGGTTTGAGACCCCTATCGGCTATCCATGGGCGATTGGGGCTCGATGCGTCTCCCCTGAGCCTACCCCCCCCCCTATCGTTACCCCTGACCTGGGGCCAATGTCTGGGCCTGGGACAACCTCTAAGACCCGACGCTGCGGAAAAGCTACAACATCGCGACAACTCACGCCCAGAGCCACCGAGCCCATCTTTCTGCATCATCTTTCGAGCCGGCCCGACTGTGAGGGTCCCGCGGCCTGACAAGGAGCGACCAGGCCCGTTATGAACAACTATCCGAGGGAAGCCGCTCCCGGGGAGAGCCCGTCCGTGCTCCGGGGATATCTGCTCGGGCAGTGCGGGCACAGTGGCACAGAGGGCAAGCGTGAGGTTGGGCACGTCCTCCTCAGGCGAGTGTTGGAGGAACAGCTGAACATAGTCACAAAACATCAGACCTAGTCAGAAGAGGAGCACGAAACATCGCCACAAAACCATCATTTGCAAGTATTGGACATTCCTCCTGTAGCGGGGCATGTCCGACTTAACGCAGGCAGGGCGGGTAGGGAGGAGGCGTGCGGACAGCGCCGCTCGCCTGCCAATGCTCGCCCATCCACTCTGTACCCGCTGGCTCCTCCTGGCTGCTTCCGAACGCCCAACTCCGTGAACTGTCCTTCCTTCCTCCTCCTCCTCCTCCTCCTCCTCCTCCTCCTTCTCCTTCTCCTCCTCCCCCTCCCTTTTCAAATTTCAGTTTTCAAATTTCAGGTGCCACCACCAGTGTCGGAACGACGTAGGCCTGCCTCCTCTTCTCCTCCTCTTTCTCCTCCTCCTCCTCCTCCTCCTCCTCCTCTTTCTCGTCCTCCTCCCTCCAAGTTTCAATTGTCATATCTCAGGTGCCGCCACAGGGTCGGAACGATGGAGGCCTGCCTCCTCTGTTCCTCCTCTCCTCTTCTACTCCTCCTTGTTCTTCTCCTCCTCCTCCTCCTCCACCACCTCCGCGTCATCGTCTTCCACCTCCTCCTCCTCCTACTCCTCCTCCTCCTCCTCCTCCTCCTCCTCCTCACCCCTCCCCCTTCTCCGCCTGCTCCTGCTCCTGCTCCTCCTCCTTCTCCTCCTCCTCTTCCTCGTCCTCGTCCTCGTCCTCGTCGTCGTCCTCCTCCTTCTCCTCCTCCTCCTCCTCCTCCTCCTCCTCCTCCTCCTAGCCGTTCTGGCTCAGGCTGTTGTGGCCTGAGCGTGCAAGCGCGTTCTTCAGAGCGGCTCGCGCTTGCGAGCCATCATTTCCATCTCGCAAAGGGAGTACCCGCGTCCGCACCACGGGTTGGCGCATGGTTCCGCAACCTGATGTGCTGCCAGGCGCGCGCACCCAACACTGGGGCTGCGCCTGTGGATGTTGGGACAATTGGGCGTGTCGGATCAAGTGCAGGAGCTGCGGGCGATCGGCCGCGGCGGAGGTGCTTCAGGCGGCGCGCAAAGCAGCAGCGGCCACCAAAAGCCCTTCCATCTCGCTCAAGGCGAAAGGTCTGGGAGCCTGGGCGAAGGGGCCTCCAGGTACGGCAATGGCGGCGGGGCAGGCGAGGATCATCCACGAGCTGCGGGTCAAGGTTGCAGAGCTCAGCGGCGAACCTGCGCCACCAACCCCTCCGTGGCACCAGCAGCAGCCTGCTGGGGGCGCTGGTGCAAGCAAAGGGCCAGGCCCCGCTGGCGGCAAAGACGTCAAGCCGAAGGCTGGGGCGCCAGGACCAGCGGCGGGCCTGTCCCACGCGCAGGTGGCGGAGTTCCTCAAGAAGGAGAGTCTTGCGGACGCCCATGCAGCGGTCTTGGCGGCCGCGCAAGCCAAGCCGACGGACCCGCCCACGCCGCCGACCCCCATGTCAGCTTGGTGGAAGGTGGAGAACCTCAAGAAGAAGATCCACAAGGCAGAGGCCCGCGGCACGGAGGTCTGTGCGCAGCGGGACGCCCTCGAGGAGGAGCTGGACACCATCAAGCAGGGCATCACCCAGGCCAAAGCCGACCTGGTCGTGGCCCAGGGGGTGTTGGCGAAGATTCAAGCAGGAGAGCATGAGAACCCGCTCAAAGTGCTCACAGCGGGGTTGGAACGGTCGGCGCTGTCAACCCAGGCTGGCAAAGACGCCCTTGCGGTCCCCGAAGGGCTCCAGCGGCAGGCGGCAGCAGAGGCGGCAGCGGCCAAGCAGGCAGCGGAGGCCGACGCCGGCCGCCCTGGTCGTCCTGATGGTCCTGGCGCAGATGGTCAAGCCGATGATGAGCCAGCTGATGCTGGAGGGGAGCACTTGGCGGTGCCAATGGACGAGTCCGACTTCGTGGAGTCAGACGTCCAAGAGTCCCTCAAGCGAGCCATGGGCGGCGAGGGGGGCACGTCTGCGGCCGTGGCCAAGCTGCTGGCCGAGCACGCGGCCAAGAAGGTACGGCGTGGGTAGCAGGCGTGGCATGGCAGATCTGGAAGCCTTCACACTGGG